GTGTGCGACAGCTCAGGGTCTGCGATCGATGCTGGAGGCCAGAAGTGAAATGGAGAGAAAGACGCATTGCCGCTCTCAGCACAGAAAACTCTAAAACCCCCTTTTTTGGTGTGTGCTATAAATTCCATATTTATTTTGTTAGCATGAGATAGATGAATATTTCTACATACAAAGGTGCCCAGCTAAAATCAGGATAAGTGATATTAATGTCCTATGGTCAGTATTATTGAACCTCAAAAGCAATAAACTTTATGAGTCAATAAATATTACATTTGCAACATCGTTAACATTCCCTTACTGTCTCTAGCACTTGTTACACATGGTAACTGCAAGTCTGCAATACATTATTCATATTTGGGGTGTCACCAAGTGATGGATTGCTGTAGGAGAGGCTGTCCTTTAAATAAATCAACAAATAAAAATGCTAATGTTAACATTTTCAGCCACAACTTTTTCCATCTTGAATGGGGAATGAAAATTTCACATTATACTGACAGGCAGCAGAGAGAACAATTAACAACCTACACTGTGAATGAGAAAGATGACTTTGCCACGCCTTGTTTTATCACCTGCACATAGAATGATATGGGACTCTCTAGGTGTTAGCGCTTTTCAGAGAACAAAGGAAAACCTGCCTCGCTCTAGCATAGGTCTCAGCCCTATCCTCTCCTGCAAGTCTTGAAAATTCTTGGACTTTAGGGTGGGCAGGGAAAACAGGCTTTTATTCTTGTTCTCCTCAGTACTGCCTTTAAGGGTTTGTTGCGATAAAGAACAATAAGTTTCTCGCTTGCATTAAGGGTTTGCGTGTAACTGAAAAGCAGTCTATAAAGAATGCCTTTTCTACACTTTGAAATAAAAATAATTCAAATGATCCTGATTCTGATATCTGGAAAGCAACCACGGTGCCTTCCTGGTAACTGATTATCATAGTACTGAATCTTTCTTTTCAACTCTGCACTTTGTATAATAGACCTATAATATGCCATCGTGCACGTCTTCAGAATAAAATCTGGTGTGCTACACATTGTTTCATTTAGCCAAGTGCTCATTATTTAAGAAGCTTCTGAGAATCTGTATTTAGCTGATTTGCAGTATTAAAAACTAACAGATACAGAATCTTTTTTTTTTTTTTTAAGGCCCGTAAATATGAGTCTTCACAGCAATTTTAACTTGCCTTGTAAAACTCTATAGTTGACATGGTCCATTCAGAAAAATGTGTGCTGAGGATGTTCTACAAAACCCTCACTGGGGAAGCATTTTTGTTTCCTTTTTCATGCTTCTCTGTAAACTGAAATGCAATCATCAGATACACATTAAACTAATGCTAAAGATCTCATTTTAATCTTTAACAGTAGGGAAATTCACTAAGACTGAAAATCCTGGCTCTCTCTCCTCTCTCCCCGCAAGTCCTCCAGAGGAATCTCTCAAGGTGAGCAAGGATGGATCCTCTTAGAGCACAAGCATTCAGGCACAACATTAGTGGTCCAAGGAAGGAGCCCCATCAATATTTCAGAACCACAGCTCACTGTGGGTCTTTGGCAGAACGACAACAACAGCAGCATTAAAAATAAAAGAAAGGAATAATAAACAAAAATGTGGTAAACAAGTCAAATTTTCTTTTGATTGTGGGTGGCCTCCAAAATAGGGAGATTGTCACTGTCAACTATTTTAATATTTAAGATGATGGGTTTTGGAGTCTGAAATGCTAGCTTACCTCTTGTTAGCTATGTGACCTTAGGCAAGTCATTTAGTCTCTTTGAGCCTTAGTTTCCTACTTTTTAAAATGAGGATGACAGTTGTACCACCTTATAAGGCTGTGATGAAGATTAAATCAGATAATGCACACAAAGGGCTGGGAACACAGTAGAGGCTTAATAGATGGCAGCCGTTATTACCTTTTGTGTTAGAGTCATTTCCCAAAACGTCTTTAAAATTAAAATGGTCTTAAAATCTATTGGGTCGTCGGAAAAGTCATGATGTATTTTTCTATGTTTTTCGTTGCAAAAATGCATCATGACTTTTCTGATGACCAAATAGATTCATCTGATAAGATACTAGGCATTTTAAGTACTAAAACAATCATATTCTCAAGAAAATGTAAACCAAACCCTTTTGGTGTTGATATTTATGTATTCAGCCTTAAATATGGAATATGGGAGTTGGCTTATTAGATATGAAAAATTTTAATAACATATTTCTTTTCCTGAATCCAGAAAAGACTGATCAAATTACAGTATTACCTCTGCATTCAAATTTCTCTGGTATTAGTAAATGTTGTCAGTCCTTTAACTGTAATACAAAATCCACTATACATTATAATTTTCAATATCAATTAATTCAGTTTGTTAAACTTATAGTCCAAGTGTATAACCATTGTGTGATAAATTGGGAAGGACCTGCTGCTAAGCAGCTTTTCTGATGAAAGACAGGATTAGCTTTGTGTTTCTATGGACGTTCTTGTCAATCATCATTATCAACTAGGGAGGGCCACATACAAAAAAGGCTCCATAAGTGCAACCTGGCCAGACGCAGATGCATCCAAATAAAGGCCTCTCCTCTGATGAAGAGCCGTTAAGACGTGTCAAGATTTTCCCCCTACTTATTAAATAAACCTCAAAAAATGCTCCTATAGAAATAAAAGGCATCCAAATTAGAAAGGAGGAAGTAAAACTGTCAATATTTGCAGATGACATGATATTATACATAGGAAACCCTAAAGATTTCACCCCAAAACTATTAAAACTAATAAATAAATTCAGTAAAGTTGCAGGATACAAAATTAATATACAGAAATCAGTTGCATTTCTACACACTACTAATGTGCTATAAGAAAGAGAAATTAAGGAACCAATCCTATGTACAACTGCATAAAAATATCTAGGAATAAATTTAACCAAGGAAGTAAAAGACCTGTGCTCTGAAAACTAGAAGACATCGATGAAAGAAATTTAAGACAACACAAATAAATGGAAGACAAGCTGTGCTCATGGACTGGAAGAATTAATATTGTTAAAATGAACATACTACCTGAAGCAATCTGCAATCCCTATCAAAATGTCAACGGCATTTTTCACAGAACTAGAAACAAGAATCCTAAAATTTGTATAAAATCACAAAAGACCCTAAATAGTCAAAATAATCTTGAGAAAGAAGAACAAAGCTGGAGGTATCACGTTCCCTGATTTCAAACCATACTAAAAAGCTATAGTAATCAAAACAGTATGGTACTGACATGAAAACAGATACATGAATCAATGGAATAGAACAGAGAGCCCAGCAATAAACCCTCACATATATGGTCAATTAATCTATGACAAAAGAAGCAAGGATATACAAAGTTTCTTTAATAAATGGCACTGGGAAAACTAAACAGCTACATGGAAAAGAATAAAACTGGACCACTATCTTATACCATATACAAAAATAAATTCAAAATGGATTAAGGACTTGGATGTAAGACCTGAAACCATAAAACTCCTAGAAGAAAACATAGGCAGTAAACTCTTTGACACTGGTCTTTGCAATATGTTTTTGGACCAGTCTATTCAAACAAGGAAAACAAAAGCAAAAATAAGCAAATGGGACTACATCAAACTAAAAAACTTTTGCATAGTGAAGGAAACCATCAACAAAATGAAAAGGCAACCTGAATGGGAGAAGATATTTGCAAATCATACATCCAATAAATGGTTAATATCCAAAATATGTAAAAAGCCTATACAACATCAGAAAAACAAAGAATCTGATTTAAAAAGTGGGCAGAGACGTTTTTCAGAAAAAGACACAGATGGCCAACAGGCACATGAAAAGGTGCTCAACATCACTAATCATCAGAGAAATACAAACCAAAACCACAATGACCAATACCTCATTCCTGTCAGAATGGCTATTACCAAAAGGACAAAAATACACTATATTTATAGTCACGGTATGTAAAGTACAGCATAAGGAATAGAGTTAATGGTATCGTAACAGCTATAAACAATGTCAGAGGGGTAGTAGACTTGGTGGGGGGGGGTTATCACTTGTGAGGGGTGTAAATGTCTAATCATTATGTTGTTTTGTACGCCTGAAACTAATATAATAAAAAATATAAAGAATGACAAAAAAAAAACCCAACAAGTGGTGAGGATATGGAGGAAAGCAAACTCTTGCACACCGTTGGTGGGAATATAAATTGGTGCAGTCATTATAGAAAATAATATGAGGTTCCTCAAAAAATTAGAAATAGAACTATCATAGGGTCAAGCAATTCCACTTCTGGGTATTTATCTGAAGAAAATAAAAACACTGATTCAAAGAGATATATGCATCCCTATGTTTATTGAAGCATTATTTACAATAGCCCAAATATGGAAGCAACCTAAGTGTCCATCGCCAGATGAACGGATAAAGATGTGATACACACACACACACACACACACACACACATCAAAATGTTACTCAGCCATAAAAAAGTGAAATCTTGCCATTTACAACAACTTGGATGGTTCTAAAGGGTATTATGTTAAGTGAAATAAATCAGGCAGAGATAGAAAAATGCTGTATGATTTCCCTTATAGGTGGAATCTAAAAAGCAAAACAAATGAACAAACAAAACAGAACAGAAACAAGACTCATAGATACAGTAAACAAACTGATGGTTACCAGAGAGGGGAGGGGTTGGGGGGTGCGAGTGAAACAGATGAAGGAGATTAAGAGGTACAAACTTATACCAGTTATATATAAATAAGTCATGGAGATGTAATGTACAGCATATGGAATATAGTCAATAATATTTTATTCACTTTGTATGGTCACAGATGGTAACTTGATTTATTGTGGGGATCATTTCATAATGTATACAAATATCAAAGCACTATGATGTACAACTGAAACTAATAGGATATTGTATGCTAATTATAAGTCAATAAAAAATAAAATAAAATAAAATAAAATAAAATAAAATAAAATAAAATAAATACTGGAGAATGTTGAATCAAGGAATCCCTAAAGCTTACCGGGAGGTGTCATGCTGGAATGACGATGTGGTTGTGCTTGCAAGCTCCTTTTGGTTTCCTGTTGTTATAGGAGATGTGGATGCATCTTTTCTAATTCCTGTCATTGTCCCTGTATGAACAATAAAGGAAATAATTTGGGCATTCAATACAAGGAAATGGAAACTTCCGTTCTGAGTAATATATTAGAGATTATAGTAATCCCTAAGCTTGAAAAGTAAGCAATTGCTCCACCCCACCAATGAAATAATGATAGATGGAAAACTCAGTGGGTTGTTTTGATTTTGTAAACATCAGAGTTCCACAACACCTTGTTTCAAGAAAAAGTACATTTGTGCACAACAGACTAACTAGAGGTTTCGTTTTTAAGCCTGATGGGCTGTCAGATTCCAGTTAATTTGGGTTTACTGGAACGATGCCCAAGATGGTAGGTTGCTTTATTTCATTCCCCTTAACTATCCTAAGAAAAGCTAATTCTTCTCTTTGACAAAATAGAAAATTCCTGTACTTTGTACCTCCAAAGCCCCCGAATTGAAATGATCCTACCCCCAAAACTTTCAAGGCAGACATGAATCTTGAATGTTTCTTTCAAAGAACTTATATTGTGCTAAATCAAGTGTCTCACTGGAAGAGATGCTCAACTAACCACTCTAGGGCTGACTTGGCCTCGGTTCCTTTCTAACAAGCAATGTTCAGTTGATAATTACTTTTCTTTTCTGGAGTGCTAAATAATAAGATAGCATGGACAGAAATATTTTAGTCTGTTTTCTAATTATTAGTATTCCTAATAATAATAATTTTCTCCTTCTTCTTAATATTATTTTCCAAACAACACAAAACATCCCTGTCTTTTTCTTGGAAGACCTGAAGAATCTCATTCATAATTTTCTTCTGGTTCCTGAGAGACTGTTGTCTAGGCTGCTTAAAGAAGTGATTTGGGAAGATTCACTCCTTTGAGGAAAGGTTGAATATTTAAATAACACTGAGACAGCTTTGGCATGTTGGGAATACCAGGCTCTAAAATGCCAAGAATACAGTATACTAACTTTGGGAATGGCACAGTTTAGGAGTGACCAGAGAACATCAGGCCTACAGAAAGCATGAGCTACATCTATAGGTTAGCTTCAAAACAATCAGCATGACCCTTGGCATTCAAAAGCTATACTCAATATTAACTGCTCTCTATTATGTACAGATGTAAAAGAACAGCCATCTAAATGTCCTTCAGCCCTCCTTGTATACCCAAAGCTGTGGGGCTCTCAACCCAAACCAGTACATTATCATACTAGACAAACTCTACTAGTCCATACATGCATTCAGTCAGTAAATATGTCCCGAGTACCCGACGACGGGGAAGGGCTGGTGCCAGGATTAAGCGCAAGCTTCGTATAGGGGAGGGGAAGGAAGGTGTGAGAGTAAGAAAATGAGGTGCTCTGAACAATCCTGTAAAGATTCATAAATAATCCCAGGCAGTAGAAGGTAGTAACAGCAGATACAGTATGCTTAGTATGTGCCTGGTACTGTTCTAAGCCTTTTCTATATACCATATATTCTTTTTTTAAAAAAAAAAAACAGTTTCACTGAGGTATAATTTGAATACTGTAAAATGTAACCATCATAAGTGTATAGTTTGATAAACAGTAATAAACCTGTTCAGCTATGAAAACACGGACACCACCTAGTTTTAAAAAATTTTGTCATGGTATTTACTTATTTTTACAATCTAGTTTATAAAATATTTCCACTCCAAAAGGTGAACTCATGCCTATTTGTAGTCAGCCCTTCCTCGCTATGGTCTGCTCCTCTCCTCTCCAGCTCTGTCTCTGTAGTTTGGCCATTTCTAGTAATTAGTTATATTTATTCTCATAAAACTTCTTTGTGACAGATACTATTTTTTTTATATCTGATTTACAGATAAGGAAAATCAGCCACAGGGGACTTATGTGACCTGCCAAGGTCACAAAGCTAGTAAGTGACAGAGCCAGCATCCACGTCCAGACAATCTGGTCCCAGAGTTTTCACCACTATGCCAGTATACGGCCATAATAAATCGTATGAAAAGTAGGAGTTAAGAAATGGGAGTGATCACACCTGGCTGTAGGATTAGGGAAGCTATGATGCTGGAGACAGAATGATAGGAAGGAATAAGGAGCGTGGAACTAGCAGAAGCATTCAAAGAAAAACCTCAAGGCGAAATATTTAGTGTATTCAGGAAATACGTATTGAGCATCATTATGTCCTTGCACCTTGCTAACCACTTTAAAGCACGTGACATGTATTAACTCATTAATTCTTATAACAGTCTTTAAATTATATTATTGTCCTCATTTTATAGATAAGGAAGCGGAATCTGAAAAGGTCAAACATCATGTCCAATATCACAGGACTAGTAAGAGCAAGGTTGGGTTTTGAATACAATCAAGGGTTATTTGAATCTCTATCACAAACTCTTAAACACTGTGCTAGTTGGCCTCAAAAATCAAACACAGCAGCAACAACGACAATAGAAAAATCCCAAATGGTCTTTGGACAGATTACTCTTGTGTCAGAATTAGAACACAGTAAAACAGAGAGAAGGAAGGCAGGTAAAGTGCTTATTACCACTCCAACTGTCTGGATGGAATCCCGGGGGATAAAAAGGGAAATTAAAACAGGTAAATAGGAGGAGAAGCCACTGAGAGGGAGTTTTGGGTGAGGTGAGAGGGAAGACAGGCCTGGGAGTGACAGAATAAATATCTTTTGAGTCACCATCATATAAGACTGCAACATTAAACTTATTTTTTCTGTTTTGATACTTCTGTCAAAAGTTTGGTTCAGACAGTCACTTCTGATGGGAACAATTTTTTTAAATTAATGTTTATTGGGGTGAAAACTGTTAGTAAAGTTACATAGGTTTCAGGTGTACAATTCTGTAACACATCATCTATATATCACATTGTGTGTTCACCACCCAGAGTCAGTTCTCCTTCCATCACCATATATGTGATCCCTGTTACCCTCATCTACCACCTGCTTCCTTCCCTACCCTCCAGTAACCACTAAACTATTGTCTGTGTCTGTAAGTTTTGTTTCTTCATGTTTGTCTGGGAACAATAAAGAAATGTTAACAGAGTGTCCAATGACTTCTAATGGGATCCATGGATGTACTTCAGGAATGTGTGAAATCCCTATGCCTTAGAGTAAGTTGATTCCTTTTTCTTAATTCTCTAAGCTCTATTCCTTATTAAGTTTCTAGAAAGCTATATATCAGCTTTTAATTATATTCATTCCTTCTATAAAATTTGATTTAATGTTTCGTATACCAACAGTTACATACAGTTATGCATATTCAAAGAGCTACACATCTCTCTATATTTACACATACACAAACACACACAAAGACAATATACACATTTTAAAAATAGAGGTGCTGGTAAGAATATTATCCATTAGGCTGATAAATTTCATATATAAATGTATATATTTTTATATGTAAATATATGTGAATATATTTATGTAAAAAACATACACACATTTTTGCATATACAGATGGACTTGAACATAATGTATCATGTCCTATTTACATATAGCTGGGTCTGTGTCTGCCCATCCATCAATCAATATCTCACGATGACTTCTTAGAGTTCAATGTTTAGGAAAACTGTTCTGGGCCCTTTGTTTTATTTTGCATTTTTAAAATAGCTGAGTTATATTATACATTCAGGTTAGTTTAAAGAATAAGTGATAAAGAAAATACCAGTATGACCCCTTTTCAGATCAAGAAATAAAGTACAGGCAGCACTGCCACCTGGAAGCATCACCAGTATCCATCCTAGTTACAACCTCTTCTCCCCTCTGAAACCACAGGAGCCAGCCACTGTTCTCATAATTATTCCCTTTCTAATTTTTATAGTTTTACCATTTATACATGCATCCCAAAAATGTAATTTGGTTTTGCTGCTTTTGAACGTTATAAAAAAAATATATATTCTCTTAAAGATTTCTTTTGTTCAATATTATGCCTGTGAGATTTATCTATGTTGATAATTTATGTAGCTATAGTTTGTTTTCTTTGCTATGTAGTATTCCATTGCATGCATTTATGACTTTTTATCCATTCTACTACTGATGGACGTGTGGAGTGTTTCTGGTTTGGGGCTATTAAGAAGAACACTGCTGTGGCAGAGGATGCTAGTTATTTACTAAAATGCACCCTTCCGTTCTTCCTGGGTACATGGCTAGATTTTATTTCCCAGTCTCCCTTGTAATTATGTATAGTCAGGAGGAAAACTACTGGATGTTATATGTGCCACTTCAGGCCCATCCTATAAAAACCTTCCACAGGTATATACTCTTCCATAACCTTCCTCCTCCTTGCTGACCTGCTATGGGGGGGGGGGCAACCAAGTTTCCTGTAAAGGGTTAGACAGTAAATATACCAGGCTTTGTGGGCCATCCAACTCCTGTTGGCAACTATTCAACCTTGCTGTTGTAGCATGAAGGCAGCCACAGACAATATGTAAAAAGTGCAAATGGCTGTGTTCTGGTAAAGCTTATTTGCAAAAATATGCAGTAGTCTGGATTTGGCCATGGACCAAGTTTGCCAACCCGAGTTACTGCAATGCTCAAGGTGATCTTGGAAGGCACAAAAAGATGGCAGAGCCATCATTCCTTGGAGCAGAGCAACTACCAACTTGAATGCCTATCCTGGACCATTACAGGAGAAAGAAAGAAACTTCTTGTTCTTTAAATCACTGATTTTTTTTCTGTCCACTTGTTAACCATAGTTTAGCCTACCCTAACTGAATATACAGCTGTGAATATATTTGTAAGTTGATCATTGCGTGTACGAGATTCTCTCTAGTATATGTACCCAGGAAGGAATCGCAGGGATACAGGGTATTTGATCTTTATCTTTAATAAATAATGCCAAACTGTTTTTCAAAATTGTTTATGAATTTCCACTATGACCATCTCAATAGGTGCAGAAAAAAGATTTGATGAAGCTCTGTGCTCACTACAATAAGGACTTTCAGAAAATGAAGTGGGAACTTTTACAACCTGATAAATAACTTTTACAAAAAACCTACAGCTAAAATCATACTTAATGGTGAAAGACTATTTGCTTTCTCT